TGTTTCTCAACCTTGACAATTTTAAGGCATGTGGACTTCAACTCCCAGAATTCCACAGCCAGCATTGCTGGCTGTGGAATTCTGGGAGTTGAAGTCCACATGCCTTAAAATTGTCAAGGTTGAGAAACACTGGTCTAGACAGTCACTTGTCTGAGAAGGTATAAGCTCTCCTGCTTGAGCAGGAGGCTGGACTAGAAGGCCTCCAAAGTCCCTTCCCAGCTCTATTCAATTCAATTCAAGTGGAACAAATTCCTGTAAGCTGGATCCTTGAGTGGTTTATAGGCTTTCCTTTAAAGAGAATGGGACGTTTATTGCCTATCTTAATGTCTTTCAAGATTACCTGATAGAAAACGCTCCAATCCTTAAAGACTTTGGGGTTGTGGGGAGAGGGACAAACTCTTGCTGGGCTCTTCCATTTGGGGTGATGCTTGCAAGGAATGGCTCTTTGCTTTTGCAGTTAGCCTTACCTGAGGAGAAACCACTTCTGGGAGAATAAATGGATACATTGAAAGTTGAATACCAGCAGTAGGGTTGCAACCAGAAAGAGGTACTGCTAGTATGTAGCCCCAGAAATTTGCACATACTAGCAATCGCCATATGGAAGAGCAGCAACGTGACTATAAAGGGAAAAAAATGTTTTGTACCAAATTGTTTCAAAATTGTTTTGTACCAAATAGTTAAACAGAAGTTCCATTTCTCACTATGTTGCACAGAAAGAAAATGGACTCTGAAGCAGAAGATGCTGCTCTCTACCTGCAAGAGTAATGTGTTTCTCTTTTGCTTCCCTTGAGATTATATAAAATCTTTTCTAGATTTCAGATGAGAAAAGGAATCCTTTTCACACTGTATAGCTAATCTGAAAATTGCCAAATATTGGATGATATTCTGAAAGGCAAGCTTAATGTTTTAAAGTGCTTTAGAATTGCCTGAGATATGAACAGGATGTCTAGGAAAGGTAGATGCTGAACTAAAGGTAGAAGGAAAATGCACACAAGTAGTTGGCATGATCAATGAGGAAAGTTTACCTGGTTAGTTTGGGAGGTGTTTTTTTTACAGATTCAGAGCAGACTAAATCTTACCATAGCAATTCTAAATTTTGTTACGATAAGAAGTATACTAATGGGAGGTAGAACCTCTGGGCATAGCCATGCATTTTTGGGTAGAATTTTGATGATAGAATTATGGCACTGTTGACATGGAATGCCCTGCAATAATTCATTGGCACTACTTAGTATTTGAGGGAAATGTAACCAATAAGTAGAGGGCTGAAAGATATGTTGTTTCTTATTCTCAAAGAATTATTATATAGATGAGCTAAGTCATAATATGGTTTGTCGGGATTTGACTTAATGCAACATTTGATCCCAACCATTGGGTATGGATACACAACAATTGAGGGAACAAGGCACATGTGGAGAAGGCTAGGAAATATTAAAGCTATATATAATACTTTTTAAAAAAGGAATGTGATTTACTTCTCATATCTTGTACATTTAGTCATTACGCCATAAACTCTCACTGTGCTGCCAGGTGAAGTTTTGCCTTTTATTTTACACATAGAACACAAACCTTTCTGTGAAGCTGTGCATGTGTTGGTCCCTGAGCGGTCAAGCAGCTAGGAAACCACTAGTCTGGAATATATCCTAAATTAAACTATTAGTGGCAATTAGTGTATTTTCTTTAATATAAGTTAGCCTAGCAGTTAAGCCATCTGATGAGGTGGTTGTAATTAATACAGCTTATTCAGTTTAATTTTGCTATAATAGATTTGCAATAAAACAAAGTATTGTGGTGGGTTATTAAAATCTTGTTTATTCCTAAATTTTTTATTCAGTTGTAAGAATGGAATCTCATATGGTATGACTGTTTTATTGTACAACATTTTTCAGTGTGTGAGAGACACTAGGAATTTTGCTGCAATGCTATTAGAAAAAGTGTCATTACTGTACTTCAGTTCCTCCTAACTTCAATTTGTACTATGGCTATTCTTACAATTGGTAGAAAGAAAACATTTTTAAAAAATTGATAGAAACACCGACTCGGATATTGTTTGTTGGCAATACATTTATATTAATAATGTAACATTTTCAGTATAGAATGGGAAATATGCATGGTATAGTGTATGTGATATATTCAATCCTAAAGACTTCAGAAGCAAAGTAGAAACTTACAAGTAGAAACTTATGTACGGTTTCAAATGTACGGTAGTTATAATCTGCGAGCTTAGTACTTGTCCAAGACTCATTACAGCACTTGTTTTCAGAAAGTGTTTGTTGGGTTTTAACTTAGTAAGTTGTGTGAATTATAGTAAGGTAGTAGGTTGAATGTATTATAGTTGTATGTTCCAGTTATTTCCATGTTGAATCCAGTTTTTATAAATAAACCATCAGCAGCAAACATTGGAGTAGCTTGTTGCAAAAGGCAGGCTACACTGGCGTTTCCTGCGTTTTGCAAAAATCAAGCAAAATATATCTACAAGTGGGGATTGTGCAGCATTCTGAAAAGTCCTCCCACCTTTACAAATTAAAATATTACAAGAATGATGAAGCATTATTACCAAAGAAGGGATTGCCCTTCACAATATCTGTTATCTATTTGTGTAGAATACTTGTAGGCAGGATAATGTTTTAATCTCTACAGCAGTACTCTATGTCTTCATGTTGTTGCTGCTGCTGCTTTCTTCCTTCTCTTCCTGTTTCTTCTGTTATTACAATTCAATTGCTACAGTGCAACCACAAATCCTAGAATATTCAAAATAGCAGGGGCAAAAGTGGTTTTTGTTCCTCGCTAAGTTCTAAGTCATGGTTTAAGTTCTGTGGTGGAAATCTCACCAGAGAAGATCAATAATTGGAGAGGATACAAATGTTTTAAGGCATTCCTCAGATTTACTCTGGCTAAGAGAGATCTCAAAGAAAGGAATATTGAATATCAGAATAATAGAGGCCTCATTCCAAAATTTATCCAAGTACAGTTTAAATACCCTAGATCACAATGAATTGTATCAACTCAAAAACAAAGGTTTTTACTCACAGCCAATAATAATAATTTATTTTTATGTACAATTTTTCCAAACCACATGCTGGCTCTGAGTAATAATGTGTGCATAAAAATATAACAAAGAACGGTACTATAGCATTGTATAAGCAGTGAATCAAGGAAAAAAATACAGGGTGAGCTATATGGAGCAGAAGACATATCTGAAGTCCTTATGAATTGAAACAGCACGTTGTTAGATAAACTGCATTCAAAACTATTTACTTATGTGCTCTTATTTTTACAAAGTGTTTCCCAAACCAAATACTTTAGAAGAACATCTTGTATACTGTAAGAAATAAATTTTAAAAAACAAATAAGATTCCATTGTTTGATAAATTGTTTTCATTTATTATTTTGACATTCCTTCCTCCAAAATCTCTGTTGGGATAGAAAATTCTACATAAGGTATATTTGGTCATCCCTGCTTTAGAAGCAAAGGCAAATAATTCACCTTCAAACAAGTGAATCAAAGGTGAATGTTGAAATAGGGAAAGTGAAATATCAGTGTGGTAAGCTATTCTGAACAAAGATCTAATTTTTATTCTTGCACTCCAATTCTTAAACTGCTTTTCAGATATAAATATAATTGCAAAATAAAGATTTCCAAAATTAGAATTTGGAAATCAGAACTAAGGATATAGTACAGGAAATATTCTATATGTACCCTAACTGGGGATGACCATAATTGCCACATGTATGGCAAAAGTCCATGTTACTTAATCAAAGCTGTAATATCAGTAGTCTATTGTTACAATTTTACATCTCAGTCTGGTGAGAGAGCTGTATTGTTTGTTAATACTCAACATGCTAAAGATTGCTGTGTTCCTATAATTCAACTTGAGTTGTCACCTGTTGACTTCCTGGCAGTAAATCATCCTCTTTTAATTTACAATGGCTGGCTGGACTTGAAGGGAAATGTGATTCCAGTATATCTAGAAAGATCTGATTGAGAAAGGCTACTTACTGTATATTTTAAAATGCCCTTTCCGAACATTGCTAAGTTTTTATTATGTTTCTTTTTTATTATTATTATAGAAGCAAATGTATTACTGACTTTTTCAAACCAACTCTCAAACCAGGTAAGCAATGTTTCTTTTAGATACAAGTGTGGCTTTTGGTAATGATGATGATACGATAATGTTCTGTGCTTGTTGGTAGTGTTTACTGATTCATAGAGATTTTATGAACAGCAGTCTTCAGCTGCTTATCTCTCATGAATTGAACTGGAAATGAAGCTGGCTTAAGAAATATTTTTCCAGATTTAACCACTTTCCTTCGCATTGGGTGCTGTGATGGTGAGGTATTTGGTCTGGACTACTATTATTACAGTCCCTGACTGGTATATTCCTCTGCTTCTTCTCCTCTCCCACCAATGTCATAAAAGCAACTACAAGTTCCATTCCCTTTTGTGATCATATTTTCTGAGGACTGGTGAAAACAAATGACGGTTCTATTGTTCTTCCTTAGTGGATCCACTGACAGTTGTGATGGAATTATGCTATTATATAGGTAATTAAATTTCCAAAGCTCAGTGGCTTGAAAGAACTAAAAAAAACTTGCTAATAATAGTGCACTAGAATAGCTGTCCCAAGATTGGAATATTTACTAAATTACTGCATTTGTCCTTTAATCCACATTTCCTATTATCTACAACTGCTCATGCTAGTTGAGGTTGATTGAATGTTGCCATCCAAAATATCCAGAGAAAATAGATTGCCTGAAAATATGTCTACACTGATGGCAGTGTGTCCCTTATGTTTTTTCCCATTATTTCAGTTGAAGTGCTGTGTTCTCTTACCTGCAAAGTACTTATTGGTACTATTGAGCAGTGAGTATTCTTATAGCTGATATGTCTCTTGCTGTGAAATATAATTCAATTGTATGACTTGTCTTATACCATACGCAAGCAACATTTCTTGACTTCAAAAACCCATTACTGGGATCTTGCATGTCTTTGATTCTTTTGGAAAGATTTAATCGTATCTAAAGAGATTCCAAACAATGTTTTGGAAGGGATATTCCTCTAAAAATCTAGCAGGTGGTACAGTTTTGATCCCTTGTTCAAATAATCTCACTCAAAGACATATATTTCAATAAATGTCAAAAAATTAATTATCAATAGTCTGAGACTTAGACTGGCCATTGGAATGCTCCATAAGATTCTAGAAATTGTGTATGGTTAATTTGTTATTCATTTCTTTTACATGTATTAATGAAGACAGAACTGTGTTGTGCTCTCCAGAAAAAGGAAATGGACATGCTGGACATACAGTTTCATGTGTAGACCATCTTAAAAAAAGCATATCTTCTTCAAAGCAAAATAGAAAGAAGAAATTGCCTTGTTCACCATCAGGCAGAAGCCCAATAATTGATGCTTTATTCCGAAAGGCTAAGTCAGAGAAAAACAACAGTCCAGAAAATGGTGTTTGCAAGATATTGAAGGCTAATCATCCAAAACCTGTGGTTCGGAGACTGTTCATATCTAATGCCTTACCTGACGGTTCTTTCCTGTTAAAAGATATTTACACAACAAATTTGGAAAGAAATGAGAACAATTCTGTTCAGACAAGAACACATTTAATAGACAATAGTAGTAGACAATATAAAACAGAACATGAAGATCTAGACACAACTGGTTCAAGCTTGAATAAATGGCCTTCCACTTCAGGAAATAACAGTCTGAAGAAGCAGAGCGACGTAACTCAGTGTCAAAAACCAGTCTATTCCAGGTTGCCACAAGTCAGTTCAATTAGTTCTTCATCTCCGAAATCGCTAGGAACTGTTTGCAGAAAGAGACAAGAGAAGGTGAAAAAACTGCACTTTTGTTTCTGAAAATAAATCTTTAGAAATTATTTTTCCTATTCATGCAAGAATAATAACTGCATAGCAAATTAATACAGGTAGTCCTTGATTACAGCAATAGCATTTAGGCTTAGATACCGCCCATGGTGCTTTACAGCACTCTCTGGGTAGTTTACAGTATAGAAGCATTATTTGCATATTGCCCTCAACAATCTGGGTCCTCATTTTATGGACCTTGAAAGGAAAGAAGGCTGAGTCAACCTTGACCCCATCAGGATTGAACTCCAGGCTATGGACAGAGTTTTTCCTGCAACACTGCACTTTAATCACTGCACCACCAGGGCTAAAACTGGTAACTTAGTTCAGAGTTGCAGCAGACATTCCCCTCAAAATTACTACCACCTGGATCCAAAATTATGGCCACTGTAGCACCTCTGCAGTCGTTCACCCTGTAGGGATATTGCAGTGCTCCCTCCTTGCTTATTTCCTCCCCCTCCGGGTTCCTGTGGGCCTTGGGCCTCCTTCCCACCCGATTGGGCCCCACCCCTTACCTTTTGAAGATCTCAGGAACTAGGGTTAGGGAAGGACAGTTTGCTCTGTTCCTGGGCCATGTGGCGTAATCCTGGAAGTAGCCACCATGTTTTGGCTGGCTGCATTGAATTGTGGGCACTCCAAAAGTAGCTAATTCCAGGATTGTACCACACGGATCAGCGATGGAAACGGCTTGCTTACTTCCTTAACTCAAGCTCTTGATTGCTTTCCAGAGCTCACACTAGGGAAGTAGAGCATGCCTCTTTGTTCCTGACCACATGGCACAATCCAGAAACAGCTATTATTTTCTCTTTAACTTTAAAATAATTATAATCCTAATTGGTTTAAGACACTTTAACTCAGTGTCTTAATGCAGGCTCTGCTGCAGTTGTGAGCTCGTTTCTTCTACAACTGGCCCTCAAAGTCACAAATCTACCACTTTGCAGTCTTCTTTTAGAGCCCAAGAGGCTTTTCCTTGTCTGGCTTTATGCCTGAGTGCTGATCTTCGGCACAATGTTGTGCCTCCACTCCTTTGAAGAGTCTTAGTCTGCCATTTTCTCACCCAGAAGTCAAAAAAGCTCTAAATGTTTATTAGATTTTTAATTGTACTAAACCATAATGTAGTTGGGTTTTACATTATTATGTTGTGTGACATTAACAATTGTGACACAGGCTATCTTTAGTACAAATCCTGAACTTGGCCAATTTAATGATTTTCTCAGGAGGAAGTTGCTTCACCTTGATTGGTTTTCTATAAACTGAAGCTTCTTTCTACCTTTGAATCTGTTTAAGTATCTATTCTAAATTTATTACTTCTTCTAAGATGCTGTTATTCTACAGGTGATATTTTTACTGCCTCAAATAAACAGTAATGGTACTGTTTAATCCTGAAATATCTGCTATACTGAAAAGATCTATACTCTGTAAAAGCTTACCTGTATATTCTAAAACCTTTTTTTCTGTATATTCTTATTTTAAGGACACCAAAGATTTCTTAAGAAAAAAATCAAGCTCAGTTTCACTGGAATCTTCTTCAGGTACAAACATAAAAGTAAACGATGTAACATCAGATTTAAAAATATATATTTTAGCTCAGTACTCCTTGTTATTATTCAAATAAATTATATGGCCACCCCTATTACAACAGTAACTCAGGGCAGCATATAAGAATTAAAACAAGTGCATTCATATGTAATCCACAAAGCCTGAAGTTAAAGAGAGAGAAAAACCTCACTCTAATCAAAAAGTTCATTTCAAAAGCAGAGCTTATCTAACCACCAAATTCTAGGAGCTACCGCCAGATCTTCAGAGCCTTGAGAAAGTTTAACACTGTCAGGGCAATCCAATTTTTGGAGGGCTGTTATTCCATGGGACAGGTGCTGCCACAAAGAAGACAACTCCTGATTGCAATAGTGTGGCACTGTTTGATGGAAGGCACTTGGAATGTGCTGTCTGTGCTTAGATCTGCTGGGCTAAGCAGTGGTCCCACAACTAAGGCTTTTATAGGTGATAACCATCAACTTCAATTGCAGTGGTATATAAATGTATCAAGAAATGTCAAAACCCTGTGCTGCAGTATTGTGAACCAGCTGCAGCTCCTGAATGATCTTCAAGGGCAGCCCCATGTAAGATGTGTTTCAGAAGTCCAGATGAAAGATAACTAAGGCATGAGTCGCCATGAGTAAGGCTTTTTTGGTTCGGGAATGGATGCAATTGTTGCACAAGATGAACCCTTGCAAAGCTCCCCACTCCCACCCACAGTTGCCACCTGCTCTTTGAAGAACTTTTAAATTGCCTATCAGATCAGAGTGCCTGGCCTTCAAAAGTCACATCAATTATATGCCAGGCAGAATTAAAGATGGGGAGCCCCTGGAATCAGTGGGGGAAGGGGCTTTATATCCCACAGCTATCCGGTTTTGCTGGGGTTGAACCAAAGCCTCTTTTTCCCCCATCCAGGACCCCACAGTCCTTAGGCACTGGGAAAGGTTCTTGGCAGCACTGTTTGGTTGGCCCATGGTGGAAATGTAAAACTGGGTATTATCATCAGCATACTAACCTCACCTATAAATGCAAAAAGTTACATTTATAAACTCAAGTATATTTATTTATTGCATTTTTGAACTGCCCATCTCATTCCTTGGGATGACTCCAGGCGGCCCACAATATAATAATGTAGATTAAAAAAAACCTTGTAATTTTTTTTAACTCATTAAAAGAACAGGAACTTACAGGAACTTACATACTTATAGAAGAGAATATGTGTAGCTTAGGGTTGAACTGTCTGAGCTTAGTTGTTTACTCAAATGGGTAATCTCTTCAGGGATAACATGTAAACAACCAAGCTGAGACAGCACCAAGGACGCCACAACATGCAAACTTCTAACCTTGAATGATATTGTTTTGTAACTCTTTTATCTCTCAAATTTTTTCCTTAAATCTTGAGCTATGAACTTTATGCATAGCCTAACATTTTTTTACATGCTATTCATAATTTATTAATTTCATAACAATAGTATTGAACTATTTTAGGGAATTAAATACAGTACCCAGTTCCTACAACGTTTAATTTCCTGAAGTTTACTGCTTTAAAATGTATACTGCTTACAGTATACATTTTGTTTATGTGCATGCATGAGGAAATAATAATCATTATTATTTCATCATTATTTTGACCATTTGAATAGTTAATATAGAATATGCAGTGTAATATGCAGGAATATGCAGTGTAATCATCACTATGTTTTCATTTTACAGATGAGTCTTCTTCAGCACAAGCTTCAAAAAATGTGTTTCATTCAGGATTAAGCTCTGATAAAACTATTGTCACAAAAAGCCAGCCCAATCCTACAGCATATTCCAGTGCTACACCTTCATTTGGAATAGCTAACCATAAACATGCTAGAAAACGGAAAAAGATTTCATCAAAAACAAATGTGAAAAATTTACAGAATGTTCAGACGTTAAATAAACACAAACTTGGTAGTTCGCAAATTCCCCATAATACTAATTACTCAAAACACAGAATATCTGCTCACAAGAATTTCCAGCCAGCAGATATAGATTGGCCTAGCAGTGACTTGCCTATCTCAGTAGAAAAATCTGAAGCTGAAAATAAATCAAATGGATGCATTATAAATAAAAATGACCAAATCCAAATTTCAGATACTAGCAAGAGGAAATTACAGACATCTACTCGTCATATTTATTTAGAAACAAGAAGAAATAATGATTCTACAGTTCCTTCAGAAAAAAATGCTGAGCAACTTGGATCTTCCTTGGGAGAGTGTGACAGTGTTGTCTCACTTGAAGATTGTACTTGTGACACTATTCCTAATTCTTCATATAACTTAAATAAATCTAACAATGAAGCATATGAGTTAATTCAAAAATTAAAGAGCATTTCTGATAGTGATGATGCCTCTGATTGCAGCGTGGACAGTAGTGAAGAAGAGACACTCATCCCTCTTGAAAAAATACTATTCGAGAGTGTCAGGCCAGCTGCAAAAAAGTCAGAAGAAGCTATGAATAAGGATAAAATAGCAAGCACAATTTCTACAACACATAATGCTTCTGTAAGTAATTGTCTTTGGTTAAAAAGTCCTATCTAGTGCAATGACCATAGGCACAAATATCCTCATGAAAACCAACTCTTTACTTGTTTAGCTCCCAGCCTTATTTTTAAAATATTGGTATAATTTTATATGAAAAAAAAATCCAGAAATCCCTCATTATAATATGAAGATAGCATCTGTCTTTTTAATTGAATCTATTATATATATGTTAGGAAGCCATTGCAAAAGGGAAGATATTTTCAAATTAGAATAGTTTTAGATATCAGAACATATAAAGCAATATTTGCCAGAAAATTATTTCTCAATGATGCTGATGGTGGAAACTTTTGAAACTTTGTACTTGTACCTCATAAAAAAACCCCGTATTGACTTATTCTTGCGATTAGCTCAGTGACCTTTTCAGTTAATAGGTTGGATTCTGTTAGACTAGAGGATTTGTGACAAACAACATAAGACTTTTTTTTAAAGAGATCCTGTTTTTTCCCCTCTGATATTCCACTTAGTACATTTGAGATACAGGTATTTCTTGATCTACAAACATTCATTTAATGATCAAACTTAGGTGGCACTGAAAAAAGTAACTTATGACCATTTTTCGCGCTTATGACTATAAGCAGCATACTTGTGGTCATGGGATCAAAATTTGGACGCTGGCGTGTATTTATGACAGCTGCAATGTCCCAGGGTCATTTGATCACCTTTTGTGAACTTCTGACAAGCAAAGCCAGCGGGGAACCAGATTTGCTTTACAACCATGTCACTAACTTAACAACTGCAGTGATTCACTTAATAACTGTGGCAAGAAAGTTGTCAAATGGGGCAAAACTCGCTTAACATCTGTCTTGCTTAGCAATGAAAATTTTAGGCTAAATTGTGGTCATTAATCAAGGACTATAATTGATTTTCAGGTGTGTCTTTTTAGCTCTTTCAAGAGTTTTCTTGAATAAACATCTAAGAAATTTAGATATTAAGTCTAATAGCCATCAGTGGTCTGAAAATATTTTATGATTTTCATGGACTTTTGCTTCAGCTTTCTAAACCTTTTATTGAACGTGGTGCCTCATACATGAATCATTTGGAGCATCTCCTGAAAGAGAAGGAAGAGTTGATGAGGTATGCATGCTTACCTTTCTGGTCCATACTCATTTATACAATTACACATTATTGTTTGTAACATAATTATGACTTGGCTGTAGCTTGCATTTCACTTGCCTCTTGGCAAGTGAGATAAGTTTTGTTTTTACATATATAATGAAAAAGTACTTAATTGTTAGATAAAAAGAGCTTTTTTAGATGAAGACGTGACTTGACTTCATGTAGGTATGGGGGAGCCTAGAAAGAGAAGAAAAACAGGAAAATGTAAAAACAGATAGATATTGAAGATAAGATATTTTCAAGCAGACAGAGCAAGAGATAATCTTCCTCTTTGTGGCCTTGGGACATTACCACAAAAAGGCAGTTATCAAATATTTCCAACTTATTTCTTGGGATGGCTAATGAAAGACTTTAAAAAAATAAAAGGACAATAATAAAGATTTATCACCGGGGGTGGGTGGGGTGGAAATGAAATTAGTAATAAACTAAAGCAAAGGTTACCAGTAGTAATAAATTAAGTTTACGGAGTCCTGGGCACTCTCTGAGCTTAGTTGTTTGTAGACCTTTCAATACGCTTGGTAACATCATCAGTGCTGGTGAGTATGGGGCTATAATGAAACATCTGCATGCACACAACCAAGCTCAGAGAGATCTCTATATATTATCTTTTTTATTTATTATTTATTTATAAAATGTAATGGCTGCCCATAGGGTAACTCTCTGTGGCTTACTGTCATAAAAATGTCTATATACAGTATATATACATTAAAACATAAATTAAAATCAGACATTAAAATATAAGGACATCTGAGGAGGGCAGGGGCGGAGTGGGATGAGTTGGGATCTGTTGTTACTTGATCAACCACCTCCACTCTGCTATTCCCCCACTGGGGCCCCAAGCCAACTGGCAGAGCCACATCTTTAGGCCCTTATGAAAGGATGTAGAAAGATTATGTAATAGCTGCAGAAATGATGTGTGAATAAAATAATATTACAATTTGTTGTAGAAGCTGGTTAATGCAGTCATTTCCCCTGAAGAACAGTTTCTCTGTTTCTTTGTATAGCCCACTCTCTCACCTTTCTGTACCTGAAAGTATCACAGGTTGTTTGTCCTACCACTTTAAAGCAGACAAGCCTGCTTTACTGTTTTCAGTAGAAAAAAAAGTGAGGTTGAAATGAGTCTTTTAGAACTTTTATTTTATGACCAGAAATGTGCTTGCACCATGTTACAATACATGCTTATAAATTAGATAGCCACATGACTATCAGATTTTATTTTAAAAGATCAGGAGAAGCATCTTGGATAATGCTACTATCTTGCTATATAAAATTGCTGGAAAGTTTGTTTTTATAATCAGGGATCAAGATTCTTTTGAAAGAAGCTTTATCTCTCATTTCAGGGTAGATGAATTAGAGAACCAGTTACAGCAAGTCAAAGGGATAGTTGAAATAAACTCTGAACCTGAAGATCAATCTACTGATGGTGAATTATCTGCTGAACATAGGTTGGTCCTCTGATTTCAGTGTATTAATTGCTTTCTCATGTTGTTACAGAATCATATTCATACTTTGTCATATTTATTACTCATATTCATACTCTTCGTCATATTGACTTCTGTAATCTATTCCCTTTCTTAGCTTTTTAGTTATTTTTATATTATACTTGTTTGGATACATTGTCATTTAGTATTTGTACTTATGCATTGTGCTCAGCCATGGTTTGATGTAATCATGCTGAGTTTATCAATATCCTAAGCCAGATACATACATACATACATACATACATACATACATACATACATACATACATACATACATACACAATGTTTTAATGAACTTTACTCTGAGTTTCTCTGACTCCTAAAGTTCTCCTCTTTCTTTTCATAGCAGTTGCTTTATAGGATATCCTAAAGTTAGCTAGAAAGGAGGAATAAAGGGATTGTATTGAAAGTGAATTGCCTACATGCTGTTTAAGTAAAAAGCTCATCCAAGTCAATAAACTGAGATGAATTAATATCCAGATTATTGTGCTTTAAATTCTTTTTAGTTTGTTTCCAGATATAATTTTGTCTTTCAGAGAATTTATAGAAAGATACTCATTCAGCCAGGATGCTATTCCCGACCACCACCCTGGAGAAAACATATTTCAAATAGTGAATGCTAGGAAAATCTTCAGCCAGAATAATCTTGATTTGAGAAACTTTGGTTTTCATCCTCAAAATCTGATTGAAAAATATCTTCTTAGGTAAGAATGGATCCTTTAATGTTTGAATTTATAGGCTAACTTTGAAAAGATCAGGTGGAACCTTAATTTGTGGTTGTTTCTGCAGATCTGGAATAACACAGCAGCTTTTTGTAACTGTTGAAGGCTTACTTGCATCTACTTACCATAATTCTCCTTGTCCTGTACCAATTTTAAAATGGATGTTTCAGGTAATTTATCTTTTATTTAGCATTGGATGGATGTAATTAAATACGTACAGTGTATAAACTATAATTAGTTCACAACTTTAGCTTAGTTTTCTGCACTGCCTATTTCCACTTTTCCATTCATGACTGTTGCTAGAATTTGATTACTTGCCAAATACAGAAAAATGGAGGTTTTGCCAAAAGTACCCCAGTTCCATTGGTTTTGTCTAAGAAACTATTCAGTTTAGTAATCTACTTTATCTTTATTCCCACATGAAAAGCGGGTTCCATAAGGACATGTATGGGTTTTAGAAAAAGCTGTTCTACATTTGAACATAGTGTTTCAAGAAATCATTTGCTAAATCGCTTACAAATCACTACATGGTGTTGTGAGGAAGCAGGTATCTCATTTTTTAATGGTGAATACATTTGAAAATTTGAAGAATTACGGTATTAATGGCACAATGGCTGCAATAGATCTATGTATTCACAAAGAGTAAAGTTTGATACTAAGCAACATGTTTGCTCCTAGGCAGCACCACAAAATATCAATTTCAGAGAAAAAAAGATGTTTTAAGAAACTCCAATGTTTTTAAAAAGCATACTAGTAAAATGTTTCTCTCAAACACGCAGAACAAATTTAGAAGAAAAAAATAATCTGTGAAGCATAAAAAAAGTCTTCCTTTCAAAAATCCCTAAAAAAGTAAAGACAGAACATAACTCACCAACTTAGCTAGCTGGCGAGGAATGTCTCAGAGAAAATTTACAGTCCTATTCCAGTGTTTCTCAACCTTGGCAAGTTAAAGATGGGTGGACTTCGCCTTCCAGAATTACACAGCCAGCTTTGGTTGAGAAACACTGTCCTATTCTATTCTTCCATAGAATTAGGGCAGGAGAAGGATCAGGGATCATAGCGGTTCTTATGGTACTCTAACTAAATCTAAAAAAAAAAAATGTTTGCATTTGCTAAGTATGTTTTTTCTCAAATAGATGATGTCAATTCACCCAGATAGCACAGTTTCAAGAAAAATTTTGGATACATTGATGCTATTAACAATTAGAAATTGTAAGTATTTGAATTAAAACCTGAGACCATGTAACCTTACTTCATTCAAAAGAAACCTGATTACATTCTGCTATTAACTAAAACTGATTAAGCTAAAAAAAAGTAATGTGAATGATAGATTCCTATTCTAGATTGTGCCTTGTAGCTTTACCAATATAATAAAAAGTATGTTAGTATATCTACCTAGAAATTGGAACTAAGTTGATGCAACTAATTGATAATAAAACAGGTTCAAGGACGGAGCTTTATACCATTCAATGTTCTGTGCAGATACAATATTTTCACCCATTTTCTCAGCTTTATAACATTGATTATAGATATTTGCCCTTCTGAATGTTATTATATAGAGCAGAAATATAAGAATGATAGGAAAAATATTTTAAAAGTACAGTTTGCGTCAAGAAACATAACTGCTATAATCAAAAGTATGTTGTGGATCATATCACATTTGGTTATTTGTTAATTCTGCTCTGCTTACTGAATACAAAAATTACATAGTTATTCTTAAGTAAACTCCTAATGCCTACATTCTCAGTTTCTCTGGCTTGAAGAGAAAATTGTCACTTTTTTCTCTCTGCAGTTTCTGATAAGAATGACCAACAGAAGCCATGGATTCCATCATTATTTGATATAACAACCGTGTTAATCAATATGGGTATTTCCTTCAGTGTGTTATTTCCTTTGCAACATTTTCAGCCTGGCTTTACTGAAAATGATATTGTGTAAGTATTTAGCAAAAGGTTATAATCTGAAGCATGCAGATTAGTACCTGTCTAAAAATTTGCCACCAATTAATAATTTTCCATGCAATGCAAAGGGAAAATCTCTAATAATTTGGAGTACTTCTATTAATTGCATTTAAGTAAATTACTTTTAATTAAATGTAAATGTGAATTAAATCAAATTTAGTTTGTGTCCTGGCCCACCCTACTTTTAAGAGTAGGTTTTCCAGCATGTCAGCCAAAGTCCAATGATGACCTTTATGCTGAAAAAAAACCTCACTTCTGGTGTGTGTGCACACATATATACAAAATTCCTCTTCTGTCGATGCAGCCCAGGCAAGACAAAAGATTGAACATGCCTGATTTAAGCCTTTATTTTTGCGATTTTTCTAAAACTCAGATTGCCATGTGTTTGAGACTTGTTACAGTATGGTCCTCATCCCTACCACAGTATGCAATAAAAATATTAGTTTTGAAATCTTAAAATACAGAATATTGCTTCTAGGTTATCCCTTCATAATAGGTTATATGGGAAATGAATATATGTAATAAAAATATGAATAAACTATATGACAATCAAGTGTCTTTTTTAACCAGGTGTGAAATGCATGTAACTGTGAATAAACAATCAAAAAGAGATATCTGTATAAACCCAACAGCTTTCTTTCTTCCAATAGAGAGCAATCTTTGCAATATAGCAAAGGTAAGAATGGTGCTTTGTTTTTAAAAGTCCTTTGTTGAGTGTAAGAATATGTCTTCTTTAACTGAAAATCATTAATAGTAGCTGGAATTTTCCTTGCAAAAGTAGTTCAAGATACACAGGAAAACATTAAAAAGAAAATTAACAGGAATTTAAAATGTTAAAGGTTTTTAAAATCCTTTATGTAATATATTGCCACCTTTAAAAAATTTACTAGAATATACACACACAAATACTGCTTTTGAAATTTATACCTGCAGCCAAAATTAATATTGCTAAAAATATTTGAAATCATTATCTCTCTTTTTCTTTCCTTAAGTTTCTGCGATTGTGTATAAATGTGTGTCCAGAAAGTTACACAGACAGAGAAATATTTATGTTGCTATTGTTACTATTTAAAATAAGTTTGGAGACAGAACTGAAGCAATTTCCACTAGTAGACTTGGAGTGCCTTATTATAAAATTGCTTGAAAACGTCAGAAACTGGGATACTGAGGTAACTTAATTTGTGCTAATTTAATGCATTTTGAGAAGATTCAATTTTTAACATAAGAATTCTTAGCATCAATTAACCTTAGGTTATGCAGACTGGATTTTTGTTTAATAATGAAAACAACCTAGAAATGATCTATAAAAGCTATAATTATTTTGATCATCTGCAAAACTGATGTTAAAAAAAACCCTAGTTTGATGTTAAGTGCAAATATAATCAGTGGGTTTAATTACGTTTTGTGGAACTGATATATTTAACAAAATAATAGTTAAACCATTTACCAGTAACTGCTGTTAGATGCCTTAAATGGAAATATTTTTGCATAATGGGAGCATTTTAAGCTATGGTGCTAATAGCCAACTTTTGTCTTTTCACTAAATATGAAATATTAAGAAATATTAATGTAATAAGCCAGTGCCTATCAATCGCATGCTGTGAATGGTCTTTAAATATAATAAATATTTATATGTATTATCTAACAATTGCATACACACTGATACTGAATTTACAATTGCTTTCAAATTCTATTAACAAATTTGTCTTTCTCTTTTAAAAAGATGTCCCAATTATCCTTGGCAATAAGTTGTTTATCCAACCATCATCATAATCTATTGTGGCTTGTTCAGTTTGTCCCCAATTGGACAACTCGTGGAAGGTAAATTTTTAAGACAATACCACTTAGTATGCCTATCAGAATTCATGCCAAAAGCACCAAATTATAATAGCTCACATATTTATGTTTATGTTAACTTTCTTCTTCTAGACAAATAAGACGACATCTTAGCTTGGTAATAATCTCAAAGCTTCTTAAAAGCCATGTGAAAATACCCAGTAGCCATGATCATCAGGTAAAGTATATATTCTTTCACTAGAACAATAGTTTGCTGGAGTTAAGACTTGTTTTCTCAGTGAAGGGAGCTTTTTTAATTAATGTTTTTGAATTTGATTGTTTAAGTGCTTGTGTTGTTCTCTTAAGTCTTCTAAGAGTCTAGCTCAGTTGCCTAAAAATTAGCATGTAGCCTTCTTGACATGCTATGGAAGTAGTTTCCTTCTGGAAACTGGTCTTCTTCTGGATTTTTTTTAACTTCCTAGGTTAGTCTACAGCCCTAGAATTCACAAGTAATCCCAGACTTGAATCAGTGCATGAGTCGAATAAACAGAGTTTAAATTCACATTAGTAATCTCACCATCCTACTAATTCATGTTTCTTCCATTTCTTTGTATGGATAAAAACAATTACTTCCCTTTTAATGGTGTGTAGCTTTCGTGTACTTGAGAGCTGCACCCCTATGGCACAACAAATTGAAAGCTACACCAGAAAATGGATGAGACATCATTTTATTTATTTATATTTTACATATCCATTTTATTTATATTCATTATTTTAAATTTCTAATTGTTTAATTTCTCCTATCCTCAGTGTTATGGACTCCATTCTATATTTACTTCTGCAGCAAAATTCCTCTTTAATGCTGCAGCTTATACTATTATATAGAATGAGTGCAAGATGTAAGGAGTCACAGCATTTAGAATGACAAAGGGCAGAGATTATGGAGAAAGGCAAGTCAGTGATTTAGGAGCACAGAAGAAATAATCAGGAAACAGATAGGGGAACTAGAGCTAGACAAAACAGTGGAAATGGTAGAAACAATGAGTAGAAAATAAGCTAAAGGGAAAGAAACAGAGGAAAATGTCAAGGACAGCTGTGCTGAGGGGGAGATTAGATACAAGTGGAAGAGACATTTCTTGCTGGACTAAATATGGGCCCGAAACTATGTTTTTTCATTCTTCTTTTATGTAAACTTGTAAACACAATTTGTTCAGAGTTGGTGTTTAAATTCTAATGTATCTTCTGGAGCTTTTCAAAATTTAGATAAAGGGAAGTATAACCTTCATCTACTTTATTTCAATTCAGAACTGCTCTTACTCATAAAGTTTGATTCCTCTTGCTGTGATAGTTCCTCCTATTTTATTCCTGGTGTCAGGGTTTCAGAAGCTGCATGCGTAAAGATTTTGAGAAAACACCCTCCTACTCCTCCTGCTGCGGGTGTTTTAGTTTCTAAAATGATTTCAGATAATTCTTCTCAAGATTGAAAAAAAAGCATAAGGTAACTGTATTGCACTCTAATCTCCCAATAGATGTCACTACTGTGTAAGGAGCTAGTGAAGATGAAACCCTCAAGTCTGTTAAAGAGTCTGTCAGAAACTTCAGGACATCATGATGGTGTTACAGAGCCTTTTCTTTCTGAATCTGAGCCGCAGGTAATACGTTTTTTTAAAAGCAAGGCTAGACAAGATATGCTGTCTAAACTATATTTGTGGTTATTGATGATATAAGACAGGGGTGTCAAACTCAATTTCACTGAGGGCCGCATCAGCATTGCGGTTGCCCTTGGGGGGCCGGGTGGGTGTGGCCAGAGTGGTTGCAGCCTACTGGGTGGGCGTGGATGGAGTGGGTGTGGCCTACTGGGTGGGCGTGGCCAGTTCTACATCATTCGCGTCAAGGGTGCCTGTGGGGGCCTGGGCAGGAGTGGGACAGATCTGAGGGTCTCTGGCAGAAGGGGGTGGGACCTGGGCCAGGGCCAAGGCAGTGGGGGGCCATTCTCTCACTGTTCCCAGGATGGCTTCACGGGCCACATGAAATCACTTCGTGGGCCGCATCCGGCCCCCGGGCCTTGTGTTTGACATGTCTGATATAAGAGATGCTCATGTTTCATGAGGTCACATAACCAAGTTGCTATTCTGTGTGCAGCAGAGTGAATATGAATAACGTTAATGGACTCAAGAATTCATTTGAGAAAATCCCTTCAGTGAAAAGGAGTAATATATAAGTGTTGATATTAAAAGCAAAATTCTCTGATCTGATTGTGATTAATGAAGATGTTTCTAAGTTCCTCTTTTATTTACCTGAAAAGATTGCTGGGGAGGGGAGTAAATGATATATTGTTTAGTTGCTGATATTCTTGTAACCTTTTTTTTTCACTTCAATAAATCCTGTTAAGAAAACTGTGATTCATGTTTGGGAAAAAGATTATTCTCCATCTGAGAACTTTGGCAATTGCCAAAGAGTCTGACATGCAAGTCCTAAAATGCCAATAGCAGTGTGGCTGGCAATAGTGTGGAAACCCACAATGTGTGTAGTTTTTTTTTTATGAATTCCTTCCTTTTTTTAAATATAAACATAGAGGTAATCCTTGATTTATGACCACAATTGAACCCAAAATTTCTGTTGCTAAGTGAGGCAGTTGTTAAGGGAGTTCCACCTTATTTTATGATCTTTTTGCCACAGTTGTTAAGCAAATCATTGCAGTTATTAAGTACATCATGCGGTTGGTAAGTGAATCTGGCTTCTTCCATTGACTTTGCTTATGGGAAGCTGGCTGGGAAAGTTAGAAATGGTCAAAGGGATCAAATGACCGTGGGACACTGCAACTGTCATAAGTACATGCCAGTGGCCAAGTACCTAAATTTTGATGCTGCAATGGTTCTTCTTCTTCTTGTGCCATATCCGTTATCAGACATGGCGATCATGTTGGCGATCCTGTTTTTATCAGCAGCTGCACGAAAAAGTGTTGCTGAGTTTTGTCCAAACCAGTCCCTTAGATTGTGAAAACTGGTCATTAGTCACTTTTTCAGTGCCATTGTAACTTTAAACAATCACTAAGAGATTGGTGGTAAGTTGAGGATTACCTGTATTTTTTTATTTTACCTGTATTTTTTAAGAACATACATTTTCTTAACGCTATTTGCAGATGGTTGAGACTTCAACATATAATTATATGTTTTTCCATACAATGGGCATTGATAACTTTCAAGTCTAATGCTTGTTTAATGTGCAGTAAGAGATAATTGTCTGGACTGGGCCTTATGAAGCACTTCAAAAGCTGAATTACCTAAAAAAGCCTGATGGGTTTCTTAGCCCCAGAAACTTGGTAGCCTTTTAAGTAACCATTTTACTAAATGTTGCCTGCTTTTTTTCTAGGCCTATTATCTGACTTATGTCCTTCTTCACTTGGTTAGGGAAGCTAGCAATTCTGAGCGTACAAGTTCCAATCAAAGAGTAAGTAATTTGCTCAAATTCTTTCTTTTTTTTAATTTTTTTATAAAGTTTTATTGAATATACAGTTAAAAACAAAAAAGACACATTGGACATAATACAACTTCCCTGGTTTGAATGATACTATTGATATTACCTTGTAAAAATAAAAAAGAGATATTTTTTTTACATTATAACAAAGTGAGCATTCTTTCAATAATATACATTATGGTTAAATAACTTTTAATTCTACCTGATATAAAAAATACTAGTATTCTTTCATTAACACGTAAAAGTTTTTTGTTTCATGAAGATACATGTACTTGGAAATCAATGAATTTAGTGTTCTACTTTTCATATAAATAGCAGATTCCTAGTTCATACATGCTGCTATAATCTTTGATGGTGAAGCTTCCATATACAGTACTTTATTAAGAAAAAACTGATTTGTATAACAGCTTCTGTATGAAAATTGGTGAAGGTCCGGTTATTGATCTTCAACCAATACTGTATAATGGACTGCTCAAAATACGACCATAATTGCACCCCATTTTAGGACTTGAATTAAATTGCTTGTTGGGCCTTCTTCATACTTTCATTAAAATATAGTAGTGAAGTATCAAGCTACAGTTACTGATCTTCTATTCTGTACTTCATATTCACTTGCACTGATGATGTTACCTAGTTGGCTAATGAAATGTCTACAAACAAACAACCACTTTCAGAGAGCACCAATGGACTCCACAATTTCTAATGCAGCTATGGTAGCCTTGCAAATGATA